GAATTTGGATTCAGTTTCATACAATTCTACATTCATTAAACGTATTTCAAGGTCTTGGTGTTTTCTTTTAGATGATACTCTACCATAGTTACTACTGAAAAACTAAAATTTTGATTGAATCCGGCATTCAATTTTACTTACAGTTAACTAAAACCCTATTCAAAGTGTTAATATTGTATTTGGTGATCGTAACTCGTGCATTGTGTTACTAAAGCCTTGAAAATGAAATAAAAAAGGCCATTTATTTATCTGCTATGTGGTTTAACGATCTATTCCATTATTAGTGAAATTGAATTTCAAACATAATAACTAAATTTTAGTTATGGCAGTCCTGATAAAATATGAATGTTTTGTCATAAAATATCTGAAATTCGGTGGAATACGTTAGGTATCTTCAAGCAATCAAATAGTTAATACCGTGAAAGTAAATGGGATCTTTAGGTTTACTCATTTTACTTATTTATTGAAGAAAAACACTCCTTGTAGTGCAGTCGCCGACGAATTAATCAAGTTCACCTTCTTGATAATTGATTAGTTAATTCCAAACCGCTTTGTCAAAGCTAATTGAAACTCGCGTTCCACATCCAAAGCAGATCAGTGTGCCTACCATGAGTTTACGTTAGGTGAGCTCGCTAGCGAATACGTCAAAAAATTCTATGAAGATTTTATTTCTTGAAAGTAGCCACTAGGGGCGCTGCACAATATGTCATACATTTAAATGTCATTTTTTTACGCAGTCGCTAGCGAGCACACCTAACGTAAACTCATGGTAGGCACACAGCGCACCAATGACACGGCGGGGAAGCCATAACAGCGTGGTTGTACGCAAATAAACAAATTTAACCGTCGATGTCGCTGCCAACACCAACCGCCATACTGTTTTGCCCATTACTTTATCTTAGGAACTTCGCGCAAACATTCGCAAGTTCACAAGGCGTAATTAAATTTCACAGACTTGTGAAACTTTGTCAAACATTAACCGTTTCGGATTATTCCGGAGTTTTCGCTAAGGATACTTGTTTTTTATTTAACGGTATTGATATTGTTCCAAGTTTACTTCGCCTTTTCCTCTTTTTTGTGTTTAGAACAAATAAGGGTCGATAATGTTTGTATTTACGGAGTAAATAGACGTAACACGAAAAACCTGTTGAGTTACGAATATAAGCTTTGTGGTTTGTAACGTCTAATAAAATTGCTTACTTATGACATGGTTTATGTCAATATAATTAGTCAATCTTCAAGAACTGTGAAACGTTTAAATAACTCTATTGTTTCTTGCCTTTAATTGCCATAGACAAAACCAAAATGCACGCCAAAGAATATTTTATCCAGTATATTCAAAATACTGCTACCTTTCTAAACCGTACTTTTTGTGCAAATCTTTTATTAATGGTACAATATTTTGTGCTTGCAACACCGACGGAAAATTAGCTCAGAATATCTAATTATCTAAAGCGCGAACGACGCATACGCGGAGCTTACTGCGGATTTCAATGCAGGGCGTGGAGCGGGCTCGCGTGCCTTTCACATTAATTCTATAGTTAGTGGTGAGCGTTAAAATAATAGCACTTGCACACTATCACGGTTAGTACACTTTGCGCTCCACGGGTTAAATGCATTCTTTTGATTGTAATTTCTGCGTTAAAAAGCCGTTTTGACGGCAATTATTTATAGACTCCACAACGCGTGAAAAAGATTGTTAAAAAAATCTTTCTTGTCACTCATGACTTGATCTTTGTATCTAGAAAACTCTTCCTTTTTAATTATCATGATTAGCTATAAAGTTTATTACTGGTAGCAAAATTGAAACCGTGAACACATAAATTAGACTTCTTAAAAACCTGTTTATGTCAATTTATTCTTATCCTTGATATTTTTTTTAGATTTATTAAGGGTAAAGGAATAACATGTGTCTTGTTTTTCTTAATTAGCTTTGTTACGTTATTTCAGAAGGAATATTCTATTTTTCGTTATTCAGACTCCTATCAAATAATACAGGATAATAAATAATGTTTCTTTGTTCGTTAAAATAAATAGAAATGAAACGAGTTTTTTCGATTTGGGCGTCAGGATAAAAAACACATTTATAATACCTACCTATTTAGTAAACATTTTTTTGACAGTTATTTTTTTCTGTAATTAAAGGTAGGTGAATATTTTTTCACACAGTCACTGCCAGTGTTTGTTTTGTGTTCTTTATTTCTTACCTTTAAACATTCCGAAACCTCTTCAAACTAAAGTAGAAATGTAAGTTAGTCCTAATAAAGACTTTTTTATATTGAATAATAGTTATTTCATAATTTTGAAACTGCGAATTTAAAGAATGCCCGTCATTGGTCGGTAAAAATAAAAAGAATCTTTTAGACTCAATACCTCGGAAAGGTCAAAGGCGAAAACCCTTGTGATATTACTTACGGGTCCGTAAATCTGTCTTTTGCTCTTTTTGTGTCAAATTTCAGTTATATCCTATACGAAAACTAAAGGAAAATGTTTTTTCTTTAAAAAAATAAATAGTTACGAATAAGAATATGGCCATAAAAATCATGGCTCAATAAAAGAGGATACATTAAAAATAAATCTATTGCTTTTCTCTCCCAATTGAACAAATTTGAAGTAAAAAATGAATGCATACCTAGTTATTAAATAATATTACGTGACAACGAAATACCTACTTAAAGAAATTTACATTTTCTCTAAAATAATTTCGTGTGAACCTGCACTTACTACAGATGTTTCTCGAAAACCAATTAGCACGTTAATTGACAGTCTACTTAAAAAATTTGCTCTTCTTTAATATTTAATTAATACTACATACGGTACACTCGGGAATTAACATCGCAAACATGGACTTAATATGAATGTAAATCACGTTTGTGAAGAATACTTTCATGTTAGGGACCTAACCTTTTTCGTCGGATTAAAGTAAGCTTTACATTTAAAATACCTTTTTGGGGCAACGTGTCTTTCTTTATCTTAGAATATGGTGTACTTATGCTCTCTGCTACAGCTCTGGCTCCATTTTTATTTGTCAAAATAAGAGCGTTAAGAGTCCGCGCTTTTCGTGAGAATTTGTGGTTAGGTATTCGAATAGACACTATAGTTTGTTCGCGTTAAGAATGCAGTGAATCATCAGTGCAACTGTAGGGTAAAGTTGTATTCACAAAGTTGTTAAAATTCAAACAAATTATACTTTAAAAGATGAAGTTTAATGAATTTATAAAAATACACTTAAAAGCTTAAAATCAAAAGTTTGTCCTAAATATCAACGGCGGACAATGATGATTCATTGCATTCTTGACCTTTAACCGACGACGTGATTTTTTTGTCACGTCGTCTGCGACGTGCGGTCTGTGGGACCGCTACACTGTTTACTCAAAAAATAATCATTTTTTGTATAAAAGTATATTGGTGTTATATTTTTTGAGAACATTATAGTATTACAAATAAACATACTTATAATTGGCGAGGAATTGATGTATATTATTTATTTAAATATGGCTAAAACTTTTTTGGCCCTTGATTTCATTGAAATTACACTAGAGCTCAATAATACCTTTAAAACTTGTAAATTTTAACCAAATCAAGAAAAACTTTACTCATTCCTAAATATAGTGAACATAATGAATAAAAATAAATGACACGTACATTACATGCACAAAAAAATTTTGACGTAGGGTAAACATTAGGCACAATCTGGACATATTTTTTTACCGCATGCCAAGCATTTTCGGTATGCATAGGTAACACCTGTAAGATAATTTCGTTTTCAATTTAGGTGGACCAAAATGTACGTCTTGTTTGCAGCTGGTGCAATGACATCAGGCTGATTTGGCATGTCAGAGCCAAGAATCATGTCACTGTTTGCTTTACCACCCGTTTCGCGGTATTTCTTTTACATAATATTATGTCCTAATATCAATATATCATTAGGAAATGTCTTTCTCTAGGTTGTGATGGCCCAGGATCCATCATTTTTTTTAAAAAATCAGTCGTCTAAAACAAAAACGCAAGTTTTAGTATGGTACAAAAATGTTACGTAGTCTGCGACGTGCGGTCCCACAGACCGCTGTTGAACTTTGAATCGAATTATCTTATTAAAACTGCCCTCATCGACGTAACCACTACCTGTAATGGCGTATAGGTAACTAAACTCGAAGGTACTGAGACGCTCGGGACACGGGAGTAATTAGAACATTGCAATCCAGAAATTTCAAAAACCGGAGCGGTCTGTGAGACCGCACGTCGTCGGTTAAAGGTTAACGCGAACGAACTATAGACTGCTATCAGTGTTGGTTAGAGTTCATTTTTTACTATATCTGTGTCAAAAAAAAAAATTAGCTTGCTTCTGTGTGTATAGAAAATATGTTACGAGCTACACTATCAGCGAAACACAAGTACATCAATTCTTGACATCTCGTTAACATCAGAGAGCACACCAAAGGATTTTTAGCTCATAAAGTTTACGGCCGAAAGATAGATTTGGACATCCGGACTGGAAACGTGCGCTTGTTCGATCCACAACACATTTGCGTGTCGTGCACGAAAATTTACGATTGGATGTCGATGCGACCGTAAATCGTGGGCGAAATAGTATTCATTCTTGTATCTTATTCAATCTGATGCAATAAACGATGGATAAATGTGCAGTACCTACGAAACATGCAGCAGAATGACGTTTGAAAAGTTTAAGCTGGGTTGCACCACCTTATTTTACCTTAGCTTTGCCTTTAACTAACTTCAAATTAATGTCTGTCCAAAAACTTTATACAAAAAACACTCAGACTTAAAGTGTCTGCTGTCTATACCTACTATAAGGCGCTTCGCCCAAATACCTTAAATTGTATGCCCTCTTTAATTCACAATACTTTTGTGATGCTATTGTCTCCTAGCGTACGACTTAACAAATTTTATAAAACACGTTTTAATAATTACCCTTATTATAATACGAGTATGTTCTGCAATAAAAATAAGGCACTAATTTATCTTTTTCTTTGTTTCAGATGCGCGTTTCAAAGACAATTAATGTACAGTGATCTTGTGAACTAAACTATGAAGACTAGTCTGTCAGATACTTTTCCTTAGTTTTCCTCCTTCTTTAGTGAAAAACAATGAAGTGACGTAAGCATGTAAACGGACTAATATGAACAGATTCTTTAGGTCGTAAGTTAGTTTTATGTAGCCAGTAGTGAGTGTAATCGTTAGGCTAGTTTTTTTCCTTAACTTATTAGTGTTAAAATAGGATTCACATTGTGAAAAAATAAGTGTAGTTTTAATTAAAAGTGAAAGTGACGCTTAGTTAATTCAATAGTGTTAAATTTAGTGTTGAGTAGGAAACGAATCGGTGTTCGAATCGAAGCGGGAGGGACGCATAATGCATTCGTTTATCGTGTTTGTTTCTGAAGAAGTTTGTTGAACTTTTGGTTGCTGTTGGTTGACAACCATAAAGATGTCTTTGCCGATCAAGAGATCCCTCAGCTCTGAGGGCGGCGCCACTTCCAAACGGGACTGGAAGATGCGCCTTAGCCTGAGGAGCCGCAGCGGGCACAGTGTGGTGAGTACCTTATCTTCATTTCAGCTACACGACGTCCACTGCTGAACATAGGCCTCCCCCAATGATTCCCATGTTGACCGGTTGATATTAGCGGCCTGCATCCTACTTACCTCTAATGAAGTAGCTTAAGTTAAATTCAAATATGTATTTCATTAGTTTGTAGCCCTTTTCAGAGAACTTGCACACGTCCCAAATAAGCTTGCCTTACCACCCCTTCGGGACAACGTATCTGCGTTAATTTCAGATACTATTTTAGACTCTTCATCATGGGTATAAGAACTTTGACACTGATATTTTCGTCTCTCTTCTGTGGGAGTCAGAACTATAGAGCCATTTTACATCAGCCCAAATGAGGCTGGTGTGACGCAACTAACGTTCTAATACAAATTTTCCAAACAACACATTTCATTTTTCATTCGTAACCTAAGAGAGAGCCTCAGTTATTAAACATGAGTAAATTCGAATTACCAAGTGAATATTTGGAGATGTGTACGAGTATTTGGACCTTACTTACGTAATATTTACTGTTGTTGTGCCAACAAGTACAAAGTTTTCCCGAAAACAAGTTAACAAATGTAGCGAGCCGTCATTACGGCTAAACCTAAATCTCGTTAACGAATGAATTAGACCATCTGTAATTAATAAATACTAGCGGCCGCCCGCGACTTCGTACGCGTGGACCTGGTTTTACTGGTTTTACCCCTTAGTTCGTAAAATCTGTTGTTTGATATCATGTTGATAGATGGCGTTTCACGGCTTCCACCGCTTGAATATTTACGAACGTCAAAAACAGTAGTTTGTCCAGCGCTGTAGATTTTAACCAATGACGACAGATGGTGCTTTTTAGACACGTCTTATTTATTTGTTGAAATTTATTTGTCACATATCGTCATAATATATAGCCTATATGTTAATCTGAGTTATAAACAATCATAAATAGTTTCAACAAAATTCGTTCAGGAGTTTTTGCGTGAAAGAGTAACAAACATCCAAACATCATGACATCAAGACATCCAAACTTTCGCATTTATAATATTAGTAGGATTCCTAACGATATTAATTACTCCCCGGGGCTAGGAAATTATTTTTTCAAGAAAACGAATCAATACAAATTCCTTTTGGGCAGGCTTTATTAATTAAGTAATGATTTCTCGTTTATTTCTTAATTACACCACAGAGGTTTTCACCGCCATTTTCTTGTCTAAGAAAATGTGGAGTATCTTTTAAATATGTCGCTGATAAGGAAATAGAATAAAGGTGTTATATGAAACAGTATTCATAATCTAAGTGTGGAAGATTGTTAGATAATTCTAAAAATAAGTATCATGACGTTTTCGCAGAAACTGGCACAATGTTCTATTTTCACACTTCGTCGACTAGGATTCGAGAATTCTATATCAGGTGGAATCGTGTGGGCTTTTTTTTGAACACAATAAACTAATTCATTCATGTGTACAAACATGGTAGAGTTGCTGCCCACTGATACGAAACTACCCACAAATCAGTGCTCGCGAATGTTAAAATGTGAGAGATAAGTAAGCTGCCTTATAGAGCATTCCTGATTTATACAATACCCACAAGGTTGGAAGTGTTTAGGCGAAGTTTGCTACCGATCTCAAAGGATTATTTCGGAGGAATGCTACACCCAGCATTTAGTGATTAGGACTGAAAATAGACTGAAAACCCAGTTCAGATGATGACATACTAACATATTATTACAAAATCTTTAAAGCCGGTTATGCAAAATACTAATTAGCATTAAAGCCAATTAATTGTGTCTGATAATTTATCCGAAAACACCTAATTATTAAACTAAAACTGTTTGCGATTTAATTACGCTTATCATATTAATTTCAATAGGTAATCTCCATCCCGAATTGACGTCAAATTATTATTTATAATTTACCCAGACGGACCTAATAATCGTAATATAAATAAAGTGTTATGGCTAGTCCTAATTGAAAATAAATAGTATGAATACAATAGATAATAAATGGGAAAAGCAAATACAAAACTCGTTGAATAAGAGGTTGAGCAAACGTAGACACTATTATTGTAGCTGTCATGGGACACCATCACCTGCTACCAAGTCGTTGTGTCCGGTAGCGGATCATCATTTCAACCATAGGACGTCCACTGCTGAACATAGGCCTTCTCCAATGCTTTCCATGTTGATCGATTGGTAGCGGCCTGCGTCCAGCGCTTCCCTACTACCTTTATGATGTCGTCGGTCTACCTTGTGGGTGGACGTCGCACGCTGCGTTTTTCGGTACGCGGCCTCCATTCCAGAACCTTGCTGCCCCATTGGCCATCAGTTCTGCGTACTATGAGCGCTGCCCATTGCCACTTTAGCTTGCTAATCCGTCGGGCTATGTCAGCGACTTTAGTTCGTTTACGGATCTCCGCATTTCTGATTCGATCTCGTAAAGAAACACCGAGCATAGCCCTCTTCATAGCAAGCTGTGCAACTTTGAGCTTCTGTATAAGGCTTATAGTGAGAGAATCCGGTATCCGGTAGTGGATATTGGCTCGAAAACGGCTGGGCCGATAAAACTGATTTTGGATTTAAAGAGTTTGTCATGGATCAAGGAAGGCTTTCGGTGAGAAAATATGAAGGACATAGATGTAGATGATACGAATTTCACTGGGTCATCTAGTTGTAAGTTAATGTTAAAGTTTACTGGTGTTGCTGCACTAAAAGTGTCTAACTCTGCGCGGGACTGTTGATTTCAAAAGTAATAAAATATCCATTAAAGGCTTGTATGCGATAAAAAATACTATTATAGTATACGTATAATTACCTATAGTCGAATTGAGTATCTCATTTTTTAAAGTCTCTACTTTTGCGCAGCCTTTCAAAGTCGTATCTAAGGCCTAAACAACATGCTGTTACTCAAAGATCTTTCCAGCTTAGAAACGGCCGAAGGTCATTAGCATGAATACTAATTTAATGACTGTGGCCTGTCAAGGTTGAACGACAGCGAAACGTTAGTAATTTTCGACTAATTTTGACGTGAACAATTACTAGGTACCTATATCAAAAAGATAAACACTGTATTTATAAGACAGGAGCGTGCTAAACCTATAAGCAGATGGGAAAATTTCCTTTTTGTACATTGCATGCATTGGTGGTAAAACAAAAACATTTGAAGTTCGCTTCGTAATCTTTTGTTCTTATATTGGCAATTAGAATGAAACTTGGGTAGTTCTACTCACGGTGGAATTATTTAGGACCATAAAATGAATCTCCAGTTTTTGTTAGTAATCAGTATAAACAGTGACTAAAGACCGAGAATATACTACAACTTATCCAATTTTTAACGGGCCAGACAAAATTATGATAAATATTGATTTTATAGCTGTTTTTCTATTTTCGATGGACAGGGAAGTGAGAACATATACAGGATAGTGAAAATTTAACTGAAAGATGCATTTGAGTTTATAGTCTTTATTCTAAAAATAATAAAAAATACTTTTATGTGCATCATAAAGGTCCACTATCAATTGAACATGGAACTCATTTACGTTGCTTCTTTTTCCGTCACCTGATCTCTTTGACTTTTCCCTACTATTCGTATCTCCTTCTATTATCTTCCTCTTCTTTCCTCGACGCTTTTCTTCGACTGGAAACAATTCGTTAGTATCTATTTTCGGCATCTCCAGCAATCCATCAGGATCATCAATGTTCATTCAGTCCCAGTACACTCGTAAGGTCAACCAAGTCTGATGAATCAAAATACTGGTGTTGCAGGCATTACTGGTCTCAGTTTCAGATTCAGTTTAAGCGTCATCAACATTTGCTTTCATGGAAGAATATTTTTTGATGCCTATTTGGAAGTGCTCGCACACGTTACTGCAAAAACAGCTAAAAGTTTGTATAGAGTCAAGCAAGTCAAAATGGAGTATCCAGTTTCAATGGAGTGTATGCATTTGCCTGCACTTAGTGTATTTGTAAAATGCCTTTATATGGCAGTAAGTTTTGCTGGTTAGTCGATATTAACTTTTCCATTTTCTTCGTAAACCCAGGGAAATGATACACAGGGAAGTGAGATTTTTGATGTATTTTGCCAAAATCATGAATTATATAAACTTCATATCAAATTTAATATTATCAGTCAATGGACGCAAGCGAGTTTGACAATATTGTTTCATAATTGCCCTAAAATAATATAAAATACTGTTATAAATACGTAACAGATGAGTGAGAAGTTGTCTGGCCCAGACACGACAGACGATGATAACAGCGTAGCTGCGTCTAACTGACTGACGATTTGGGCGAAATAAACGTTTCACTAGGCGAACTTAACTGCATACTTAAATACATAACAACGACAACGTGGCTTACCCTTTGTTTTGTTACAGATTTTAACGTGTTTATAGGTGGCAGGGAAGTGATACTTAATTCGTGTCGCCTTTGTTCAGCAATCAAAAAATTATGTAAATAGGGAATTCAAACATAATCCATATAGGTTAAATGAAAGATACACTAATGGTTACCTTCAATACAATGTTATTTTTGACTAATTATATTTTTATATATTTTTTATTGTGATTTACATCATGAATTCTGGAATGTCACCCCACAGGGAAATGAGAATTTTTCCCATTTGAAGCCATTTTTGTCTGGGATGTTTTTATTAAAACCTGTTGAAATTCAGTGACCAAGTACTATGTGAGTTAAACTTTATTAATACCCTAAAACGAAAACTAATAATTGGTAATTTAAGGAGCTGCAAGTTGAGCCCCGTAAAATTCCCTGATTTGTAGAACTACCCACTTAACAAACACGAAATATTTATGTTCATCAAGACCAAGTCGCAAGTTTTTAAACCCCCATTCGCGCATCCATTTTAGGCTATGTAGTGCGACGTGGTACCATCTTTTATTCTCTCTGACTAACACATTCATCTCACTTTGCATGATCAACTACTCTTTCCCTCTGGCTTTACTCGAGTATTACATTTGTTGAAAAATATCGCGCATTCTTCACCATAACTGAG